TTGGCATCATTGATGCCAAGGGATAACCTCCCTTTGGCAAGGTTGGCAAGGGAGGTCGCTGCCTTAAAGGGGCGTCTTACCTTTCTGTGGGAGGCTGAGCGTGTATGGAGGGAGCGTGCAAAGAGGGGTGAAAGTGTTGGTACCTTGCCCAGGACATCTTCTGGTTTGCATTCTGGCCCAATTTTTGGCACGGTTCAATACCAAGTGGCTTGTGCTCTCCCGGTTGGAATCTTTGTTAATTGTGTCATGTCCCTGAGTGCTCTCAGCCTTGGTCTCTTGGTTCTTGCCTTTGAAGAGAGAGAGAACACGTGGCCGTGACTCAGCCGCTGCATGGTCGGCAATCACATGTAATGGCCATGCAAGAATAGGGCTATGGTAGAGGATAATGGGGGGCCGCTGGTCTATTTGCGAACTATGCCAACCCCTTGCACACCCCGTTCCTGGGCCCAGGGGCTCAACCAGGACCCCAAAACAAGACCAAAGTACTAGAGCGGCAAGGTCCCGGAATTGGGAATTGGATCAACTAGACGAATTGTTTACCAGGGGTCCAAGAGTCGTGTGGAGAAGTTCTAGATTATTTGGAGTGTAATTGAGATCAACACAAAGGATCATCTGAATCAAAGGCCCAAGTGCTGGATGATCAATGCCAATTGATTCTGGAATTGACTGGGAGGTGGAGTGATTGTTCGTTGGACATCCTAGTGCTACAATCTGACTATGCTGATGGAGTCAAAGGGTGTCTGGACTGTTGAGTTGAGGGTCAAGTTGGTGAATCCTTGAACAATCTCGTTTGTTGTAAGTATTGATTGCCAGTGACATCGTGAAGTGTTCAAAAGTTGTGCTTGTCGTGTGGTGGAGTCTCATCCAGAATATCGCTCACTAGCCTTAATCGTACACCTAGGACAACAATGATTGTACTTGGGCACGGAATGCGTGTGCAATACCAAAATCAAAATAGTGTCTACCCTAAAGCAACACAATTGAGAGCGAGCTCAACACAGCACAGGCATTTCCCATGTTCTATGCCACTTCGAAGCGCTGCTCAAGCCACAAACTAAGAATAAAACCAATTTGTTCTTTTGTGCCATTGACACCGATAACACAATTCATTAAAGAAGAGACTACAATCAATGGCCCCTCATGTACAACGCACTACAAATATTGTACCATGTTGCACATGTGGTTAGCCATACGCATGCAAGCACACTATATATTGACAATGCTTAGCACAAACACGCAAATCTAGTGTGCCATATGTTTTGCTTTTGGATCGACCACATTCTGACCCCCTAAGCTCCATCAATTTGAGAGGGTGCGCCAAACACAAGAACTTTGGAAGTGGAATGCCCCACAGCCTGGCCGTCACAACATCTTGTTACTCCCCACAGCACTAGGCTCCAAGTTACGTCATCCACCCTCTTCCCAAACTGTCCTACCATTGCATGAATCTGACATTCGGCAAGTCATTCACCACCTTGTGCGACAATCCAGAGCAACCAAACAACTCTACAACTCTGAGGGCGTTTACTTCCCTCAGGCAACCCAAGCCGACTTGTGTAATTCCCCGGCAGCAGTGCAAGTTCAAACGCGTCAACGCTGTCAATTTTGCAATGGACTTCAGGCCTACGTCAGTGATACCCACACAATGTGAAAGGTCGAGGTGCATCAAAGGCAAAGAAGGAGAGCACAAATGCGCCATGCCCACGTCCGTGATTTGCTTGCATCCAAACAAATCAAGATGCACGAGGGAAGCCATGTTTGACAGACGAGCTACGCTGGCATTTGTTATCTGCTCACACCCGCAGAGAGATAGATATGATAGGGATGTCAAACTATCCAAGCAGCACAACCCCAAATCCGTGATTTTCTTGCAGCAACCCAGATTCAAATACGTCAGAGGCGTCATGGTCCCGAGGCACATAAAACCCACATCGCTGAGGCTGTCACAGTTACGAAGGCTGAGGCACGTGAGGCTCGTCAAGTCGGCCAGGTGCCCCAGGACCTCGTCCGGCAGCTGCTTGCATCGATTGAAGCTGGCATATGCAAGGGCCGTGAACTTGGCAAGGTATCCCAAGTACACACTGCCGATCATGTCGCAACTATCCAGGTTGAGGTGCGACAGAGCACTCAATGTGGTCAGGTGCGACAAGCCTCGACCATACAACTTTGCACAGCCCCCCAAATCTAACTTTGTAAGGCTTGCCATCTTCCCCACCTCCTCCAGGCCGACGTCTGAGAAGTTCCCACAGCAATTCAAACCCAAGAATGTGAGAGTGCTAAGAAATGGCAGCCGATTAAAGGTAGACATGCTGCTGCCAGACAGATTAAGGTGCTGTAGGCCATATAGAGTGCTGAGGTGCCCAAGAAACACCCCTGTGATGCAACTGCATTCTGCCAAGTCCAGAAACGTCAGGTTGGAACATGCACCGAGACAAGCTAGGTCCTCATCCCGGATGTAATCACACTCTCTAAGCTCAAGATGCCTCAGGCAATCCATTCTCAGCCAAGTATCCAAGCCACGATGCCCATACCGCACCCAGTTTGTCAACTTCAGACCTTGCACATTCGGAAACGTTTTAAGTATCTTTTCACCCATCTCTTCCCCAGCGACAGCTTGACAAGGTGCCAAGAAAGTGACGTTCTCAGTTGCCCACTTGCACCAGTGGGAGTTGATTTGCCGTGCGGTGCTCAGCAGCCTGACATGATGGCGATCGTAACCTTCAGACACGTCTTTCATTCTGTCGAGAAGGCCAAACGATATTGAACCCCAATCTCCGCAACGGTAGACTTCCTGCCACACAGTGCACCTTGCTTGCTTTCAGTCAGTCAGTCAGTCATCTGCCCTTTCAACTTTAGAATCTACAATGCCTCCTGGACAATGGAAAATGCCATCCACCTAGCAGAAATATAACCAAATGCGCCACCCATTGCCCAGAATATGCATAAGATGAAAGCAAGCCATCGTCACTCAAATTCCCAAGTGCTACAACATACAATCAGGTCCGGTGGCTGTTTCACCTATCTTACTTTGCAATGGTGCTTGGAAGGCACATTAACAGCATCTTTACCAGTTGGGGCTATTTGGCCTCGATCGGTGCTATTTGGGCCCAGAATAGCACCGCTCAGCACGGAATAGCATCAGCGGTGCTATTGGAGTGCTATTGCTCCCCAACCGTAAATGATGGTTTTTTGACGCGTGGTGCTATTCGAATAGCCAAATAGCACCGCTGGAACAAAAGCACCCACCGATAAAGTTGTCCTAACGAAATGCAAAATGAGAAGCCTATTGTTTAATTGCATCGACACTACAGCATGCATTCTGTGCTGAAAACTCCCAAAAGTCAGTAACTGTGCAAAGGCCACAGAACTTCACTGCATCATCTGAATGGCATCCACAACAGCTGAATTGACGTGCCCTCAATAATGCAGCCCATGCTTGCAAACATATATAAACTAGTGCCTGCAAACCTACTTGTTCCATCTGGTGCAGCACACTTCCGCCGGAAATCTTCAAGGCGACAGCAGCTGTCGAACAGAAGTTCTTTATTTCAATTGCAGGACTTGCCAACAAATACCAACAATAGGCACAACCCTCACAATGGCAATTTGCATTGTCATGCAATGAACTTGACAGGTTACGATTCAGATACTCTCTGTTGTGTTCTCACTTGGATTATGTTGCAAGTCATGAGCCACAGCAAAAGCGATACTTGCACCAAATTTGTGTCTGTTGAAGATGGCTGGTGTCATCTTCTCCTGCTGTGCAATACTTTGCACTGTGCCTGTTCCCATCAAATGGCAAATGCTGTAGCCACAGTTGTTTGTGGTGCCTGCTGTAAGTAGCACATGGCCATTTGCCAAAGTCTTGAAGCCCCTCCCACTTCTGCCTGTGCTCCTGGGAATGAACACCATCAATAGGTGCTGTGTGCATGCGCTGTGTGTCAATAAGACATAGGCGTCTCATTCCCCTTGAGCCACCCAGTAAGTATGCGCTGGTTTGTCGTACCAACCAGATATGAATCCAACAGCTTCTCAACACCTTCCCTGGGTTGTACAGATTCGTTCCACGGTGTGTGCCTACCAGCTTTGATGTGCATGGGAAGTTCAGATGATCGCCCCAACTGAGAGGGTTCCTTGAAACAGACTGCGATCAGTTGCTTATGTATACTGCTTACATGTGCACTGCTTATGGAAAAGTTGGAGCTGGACAAATATGGTGCTGCATGCTAAATTCGTCTGTTGGTGAGCGAAATGCTGCAATGATGCTCGCCGTATGGCCTTTTGCAGTCTTCTGCCAAACGGAAGCGCTGTCTGGGGACCGCTGTACCGTCAATTGTCAACGAGGCGAGGTGCCCACGCACCGGCGGGTTGGGCGTGCGCCGAGACGGTTATAGGAAGGGGACCGCACGGAACAAACACCGATATGAGAAAATCGCGTGGGCATCGTCAGACCCGCTCTCAATTTTCTTGCCTTTGCCTCCGCGTTCGTTCGGCCTGTGTAGCACCGGACGGACGGTAGCCCTCGTTGGTCACAAAGCGCAAGCAGCCCTGAAAATTGCAATGTTGAAGTATTGGCTGGTGATTCTGAGGAGAATACTCAGTAGGCTTCGCCTGTTTGGAGAACTTTGTGGTAGGTTCCCTTGTGAAGTGCTTCCAGCTTCGATGGTCAGGGACAGGGCCGCGGCACACGTAAGCCAGGGTGCTGCATGCAGTTATTCAAACACGGCCGCAGGTCGATGGCTGGTCGTCGGCGAGACTGGAAACCACCCCTCAGCCACCGATCGTTACCGCACTACAAGAAAGCACAAGAGGTGACAGCCTGCGACGCCCCCTCCACGCTGCCGTAAGTCGCACGGTCGCCATAAAGTTGACCGGGGGCATGGTGTTGCTGAGAATTGGGATTTTTGGAATTGGAAATGGGACCGGGTTTGGGATTCGCTGATCGGGCTGCTTGGTTCGGGTCGTGGGCAGCTGAACGAAGACTTTGGCCCCGGATTCCAACTCCCTGCGACTGCAGTTTCGAGCCTGGAATGGTTGGAGTGCTGTAGTAACGACAGGAAACTCGCTAATGGCGGTGGCTGGGGGCTTCGGCCCAGCGGAATGTGTGTTTATGGTTTCGCGCCCGTTCTGTGGGGGCCTGGTATCGCGTGGGGCCTCTGTCACCGCTGGCGATCCAACACGCTTCGACGGTGGCATCAGCAACTGTCGACGCCGGGGAGCTGCGCGGACGCTCGGGGCCTCAGTGCGGTGCTGGAGGACGAAAGCGTCATCATCGACGCGAAAGGTCGGGTTCTGGCACATCCCCACCAGCTAAGAGCTCATCAACCAGTATCAATCGTGCAGCGATGTTGGAGCTGCTCTGCTGTTCTGGAGCTCACGGCGCACTTTCCCTGCGGCGTTCTATTCTCTGCGCAGCAGGTCGGCTGGCAGGCAGTTCACAGGATGTCGCTCGAAGACCTGGCCCTTGCCAGCCCCATCCTGGGCAGCTGCGGCTTCTTCGCCGAAGACGTGAGAGCCGGGTGGAGTTTCTGGATCGACGTCGCAGGGAAGATCATGGCCCACCTCAAGTTCAACCCTGGAGATCTGGACACGGACAAGTCCCAACGAACCAGGGTGTATCAGTACTACCTGCCAGTGTTCATGTGGTGCCACAAGCAGCTGATAGCGCACAAGATAGCCAGCGGCAGCTCCACGCCTGCACCGCTGGTGATCGGCATTAGCGCACCCCAAGGATGCGGCAAGTCAACAATCGTTGCCTGTCTGCAGGATGTCTTCAACTCCCTGGGCATGGCAGCGGCATCGATATCCATTGACGACTTCTACCTCACATGTGCGGACCAAACAGCTCTTGCGAAGGCCAATCCCGACAACCCACTTGTGCAGCTGAGGGGCAACGCCTGCACCCACGACGTGCCACTGGGCACCACCACACTGACCAGTCTGCGCAGCCTCACAGACACCGGCCGCAAGGTGCAGGTACCCAGGTACGACAAGTCCAAGAACCAGGGCAGGGGCGACCGGGCGGACCAGGCATGTTGGCCTGTCGTGGAGGGGCCCCTCTCTGTGGTGTTGTTCGAAGGATGGATGCTGGGATTTCGGCCTGTGGAGGCCGCCGAAGCAGCAGCAGTTGACACCAATTTGGGAATTGTGAATGAGACATTGAAGGGCTATGAGGCAGCCTGGGACAGCTTCGTGGATTGTTGGCTAGTGGTGAAGGTCCAGGACCCGGAATACGTGTTCAAATGGAGGCTGGAGGCAGAGCAGGCAATGAGGGCAAGTGGCCAGCCAGGAATGACAGATGAGCAGGTTGGTGGACACTGTTATTCCTGGTACTGCAGAGGAATGGATGGGCAGGGATATGGCTTGGGCCAGGGGACCCAGCCAGAAGGGCTAAGTAAAAGTCCTGCAAGGCTGGCACACTGTACATGGAAGAACCTGAGCGCTGATTAGGACTGTAGAACAGATTGTAGAACATCATTCTTCGCATGTGCGGATGGCACTCACCAGTGGAACAACAAAATGTGGCCATGCACTGCATTGATGAATTCATGTCCGGTTTTTCTAGCCAGCAGCATGAACAGGGGTTAGTGAGTTTCAGATTTTGTATGTCTCCAGTTGTTGCTGTATTTGTCAATGCAGCAGAATAGAACCCAACATGGACAGGGTGACCACACATGAAGAATTTTGGCACGAAGACTTTGTCACATTGAACATATACATATACACATGTGGGTGTATATGTGGCAGCATTCTGCTGGGATCTTTGACTGGAAAGATGCAGACACAATGGTCAAGTGTATCCCAAACAGGCTTGCACTGCGTTTTGGGCAACTTGGCTTCACTGGTGTTACAGTACATACAGGAATACCAATGAACCCTCCATTACGGGGACACACATAAGACATATCAACAGGCCCTGACTGTGTAGGACATTGGAGAACACAAAACTCTTGCATTCAATGATTTCAAATGCACCCATGCAGCATAGCATGGGCAGAGCTGAGCTCTGGCTGAACTACCTCAACAGCCATGCGCAACTGTCTTAGCAGGAATCGCATCAGCCTCGCAGTGTGCATTGGTAAACAACGATTTGATTTTGATGCAGGGCAGCACAGCAAATGAGTGCAAGCTGACTGATACATGGCGTATTGATGAATGGACCTTTGGCTTGTGTATTGCAGGTGAAGGACTTTGTGACGAGCTACATGCCAGCCTACAGGGCGTACTTACCAGGGCTCTATTCAAAGGGCCCCACAACTGCTATGGAAGGGAAAGTGCTGATGATTGAGGTGGACAAGAACAGAGCGCTTGCGGATTCTCAGGCACATGCTCCTGTATAGTGGTAGCACACCATTTTGGAACCAAATATGCATAACTGAAGAGGCTTGTATTTTGAATGCAGTGACCAAGAGCATGACAGCCCAACAGTGCACAGAGCATCTGTGCCAAGACACTGCTGAATCCTGCATGCAGGTGCATCAACCAGGCTGTACAGTGGATGCAAAGCATTTGCACCATTAGTGGCCACTGATGTCCACTGTGCTTCAAAAGTCCAACAATTCCCCTCACATACAACGAATGAATGTGGCGCCTGCATGTCTGAACTGTTGCACACTTCTTTTCAACACTCTTCAGCCCAGACATGGACAAGGCAGTGCCCATTAACAAGGGCATTCACCGCACAAGTTGTGTGCAGTTTTAATGGGGTCATGGTCTATCGGCTTCACAATGCCCATTACCAAGGATACCTGATATGGCATGACCACAATCATGTCCATCCCTTGGCTGTTTGTTATCCTCACACATCTGTGGGAACTTCTGGCTACAGCTGTCTACGGTCAACTAATGCACTACTAACTTTTAGATGAAATGCCATCGTTTGGACATATGACCATGCCCAGTACTTCATATACCTCTGATCTGCGGATGGAAGCATGTCAACACGTCTCAACTTGCCCCTGCCTCACAACTGCTTTCTTGGTTTCGGTTTCACTTCTGTGTCTTGCATTCTCCTCACATATACCCCATCTTCAGGATGGCTGCAGGCAAAACATACACTTGATCGTTTTCAACTATACAGCAAAGTCAAGAACATCATCCATCCAACAAGCAAAAGTGATCAAGTTGCTGCAAAGTCATCAATGCTCCATCAGTGTCCACATCCCACACTGCATATATCACATGTATCTATGCATCGCATGCCCACCACATGTGCATCACATCATATGCATGGCAGGTATCCCAGCTTCCTTGGCACGAATCCCTATTGCGTTTTCTACAAAGTATCATGACTTCTATGTAGCTGTGTGCCATAGGGATAGGACAGGCAGCTGCAGAAGCTGAAAGATATTCTGCACAGTGTGTGCTGCGACCATTCGAACGATGGACATATCTGCCACATGAAAAGCAAACCAAACATTTGAATAGGCCCCTTGAAAGGGAACAACTTAGGCAATCAATGCCACCCTTGTGGATGTGTTTGCCTGCGATCCTAACAGGCAGTTCCGACAGACTGAGCTGTTGGAACTTGTACACATGCCTTCATAAAAACGATGGCAACCACCAGCAGAGAGCACCTCTCACCTCATGTCCCCCATTTCGAATGTATAACTTGCGGCGACAGCAAGGAGGTGACCATCTCGGCTAAAGTCCATAACAGCAATACTTGTGGGGTATCTGCAACATACGGTGCAATAACAATCAGATTGTGAGCCCAAGCACACATCACATCATTCAAACAGTACATTGAATTAAATGAAATGTGAGCACTCACAGACACCGGGAGCTGGTTGGAAAGAAGTGACAGATTCGCCACCAAGTTGATTGGACAGCTTTCCAGTCAGCATTACATCTCTTCCATGTTAAAGCTTCGTGATGGAATTGTTTCAGATATTTCTGGCAGGAAATGCCAATAAGGACCCTAATTCGGACACCTTGTCTGGCTGAAACATTTGGATTGGCTCTATATGGACAGTGCTCAAACAAAAGTGCAAACTTACCTTACCTCAGACACAGGCAATAAGGGCAGGGGGCCCAAATAAGTTTATCAAAGTTTTAGCATTCCCGAATAGCTGGACCATGAAGCAAACAAGGACCTATGGCTTGTGGAATCTGCACTGCACATCGTGCAATGATCCTCACACTCCGATCGCACCCGCCTAAATAACAAGCATGCATCATGCCCAGCACGGCACCATACCTAAACACCACAGCAGGTATGATACATACCTTCATGCCGATTGTATCATAAACACAAGCTGTCCTGGGTGCTTCACTATATGCTTCTTTTTGATCCGCTATGGGCATTCTTATGCCATTCCTGGTGTGATGATATGCTCTGTATGGCATGATGATGTGAGGAGACATTATGTATGAATGTGTAGATAGGCAGGATGTTATGTGCAGATGTGAACGTGTTGACAGAGTGTGCAGAATCACTGCGTACCCGAGATCCCTACCTTGCTTTGCTCGCTATGCAAGGGTTCACACTAATGAGAATGACAATTTTTGCACAATTCAGCAAAGAACCCTGGATTCTAGTCTATCCATTTGTGATGCCAGTCAGCCCTTGTGGCGCCAGTCAGCTCTTGTTGTGCACTTTCATTCGGCATGCACTTGCGATGGCCGCCACTCCCAAAAGTAGTTTGCCATCATCAAATGCTGTAGGGGTACTCTATTGTAACCTTACCCTGAAATTTGAGACAGTCGCTTCTTGTTTTCGCCATCCCAAACGCTGACAATGCCGTCACAGCCACCAGTGGCAAAAGTGCCATGTGAGGGATGGAAAGCCAAGGCATTAACTGGGTACACGATCTCCTTGACACCATCTTTCTTACGATGGCACTATGCAAACAACGCACAGACAGGCAGTCAATTCATCCATTCTTCCACCTCACACTCGTGCCCTGATTTAGATGCGGGCGATGGGCTCCTCTGTAAGTATCGTTTGTGTGAGTATGGTTTTCATGGGCACTCAGATGTGCTATTCAGCTGAGAACAATGCATTGGTCCCATAACCACACATAAACCATGCATGTTACCAAAACAAAAGAAAACCAGAGTAATTGTGTGCATCGTTTGTCCATCAACTACTTGGGGAGCTGCAAGCCAAACGAGAAGGAAACAGAAATACACTAGTGACCAAAAAAAACTTTCCAAACAGGAATTGGCATAAACCAACATCTCTGTTAGCGTAGTATGTTCAAAATCAAACATGGCAGGAGTCATTGTCATCTACTAAATAGGTCCACAAAGGTGCGTGCTCTGGAAAGTAAAAAATGACACAATTGGTGGGACTCTGATTTGGGAACATACTCAGCGATCAGTCAAGGTGAGCTGCAAGGTTGGACAGCCTGACAACAATCGAGGTTATTGCAGACATACCACCAAAGACATTCAACTCAACTTATACAATGATATTGACACATTCAAACTGACCACCCAAAAACAAAGCATCAGAAAGCCATCACTGTAAAGCGTGGATGCTCTCGTAGCATGCGCCCACACAGCCACACCTTGAATGCATATTGCTTTTCTTGCGCTTCTTTTCCAAGGTCAAAATACTCCATCGCCACTCGCCCCTCGATCGAACTAAGTCCATAACCTGTTCCATCTGGGAAGCAACGTATGCACCTTGTCTGATGTCGCAAAGATGACTCCCTGTGCTGTTCCGCTCTGCCAGAATGAACACTACAAAGGAACAGACATCATTGTGAGTCAAAGGGCCAAAGTTGTAGCCCGCAAGAACTATTAATATCAATCTCAACACAATGGGTCTCATGGTGCACCACATACAGAAAACTGCACACAAGATAGTGTGATGTGACTTGGGTCAGCTCCATCACATTCTGTTCAGTATCTCTGACTGGGAACTGGCCACACAGAGCCTGACTAGGCCACACCATGCATTCTTCCTAATCTATAATTCTTTGAATCCCCAAAAGCTGCACTTGTCTATTGCATACCAGGTGCATGTTTACTGTAACCACACCAGTCTGCATCGAGAAAGGAACTGCATAACAAGACTCACAGTAACACAAGATTTGCAGCCATCGATGTCCCAGAATCAGGCTACTTATTGAGCCGCAATGCTGTGAACAAGATGAGTTCCGGTCAGCTGCTTTGGCACACCTGCGAATGTCGTAGATGCGAACCTTCCTTTCTGAAGTTCCCACCACCAACTTCGTGTGTGTCTGTGACATTGTGTAAGCCTTGCCTGGAAGGCTGATCGATGTCACACAGTTTTGAAACTGTGGAAGCCGTGGATCCCAAAGGTGCAACATCTTGTCCCATCCAGCAGATGCAACCAGGCCTGCAAACCAACAGTCAGTGCACAGGTCGGGCAAAAATAACTGAAAGCGCAGAACTTAAGGAGCAGACCTTTTGTAACGGGGGGGAGGGGGATTCAAAGGGGCATGGTCGCGTAATGCAGCAACCCATGCTAAAGTCCCGAGCAAACAAGAAGGTAAAGAGCAAGTGGAGATGCATTTCCAAGCATCACTGTTCCAAGCAACACTTCAATACTCATGGACTGCATTACGGTTGAAAACACAATACGAATCCCGAATCAATTAGTTCTTTCAGCTCTTTGCACGATTTTAAGTCAATGGTAACTCCAAAAATTTGCTTAATGCATAAACCTGGAATGGGATGTGTTCACCGCACCATGTTCCTTCAAGTACTCCACACATTTTACTGGTTTGTGATGTGTCCCAAGAAGCACGTCCGCCCTCCTGTAGAAATCCTGCCTGGAGCAGTATGCAGTCCAGCCCTTTTTAGTCCAACCATTCCAGGGTGTGCACTCGTTGGGTCGTTCGTCAGCATGAATACATTGCTTGGGTGACAAAGAAAGGACACATTACACCAGCATTGCACACATTGTTGTGCATGGCCACAGGGAAGCAGCAGCAGCAACACAGAAGACACACTGGCCACAACCATCATGTGCCAAACCTAAGGATACACGAGTGGACAACATCACTACAGAATCCCAATCGCTGCCGCCAACCTTTAAACAATTGTATCACAACAGCAGTTCACTCCCAAATGGCCCCACCTCTTGACTTGGCCATCAAGACCTCCTATGAAGGCCACATAATCCTCTTGGAACGTGCAATCCATGACTGGCGCTCTATGATTGAAGGTGCCATGGTGGACATTCGTTTCAGCATCATAAAGCCGTGTTGACTGCAGGACAGAAATAAAGAACTGAGGCCTGTGCCCATTGGCAGAGCGCTCAAAGCACTCAAAGCCCTCTTGAATGCCAAGCAAAAGATTTCTGGCAAAGACTACATCGTCGACCATTCATACAATGCACCTCTCATTTACAGCAGTTACTATTCGAAAATGACCTAAATGACCCAGCACTCTGCTTGTGAAACAGTCAGCTCGTTCGGTGTGTGCTTCCAGTGTGGCAGTCACTACATGAAACCAGAAGGAGAGAAAACAGGAATCAGCAGGTCAAAGGTTTGGCCAAGGTTGTGCGTCCAAGGGTTGAACAGCATGCAGGCAACTGGTGCAAAGAGCATAGCCTCCACTGGACAAGTTATGGAACACCGTCAAATCACTGTGCGTGGCACAGATTGAAATCAAGGCATCCATGCCAGTTATATACTTTCAAATTTTGTTGCGTTGCCATGGATTCAACACTTGACCCGGCAGCGTGGGTGCAATGGGGCCGGACACAGGGGTAAGGGCACTACTGATGCTCAACTGCGCATGTGGGGTATTTGGTGCCACATGCAGCAGATCATCCATGGGTGTCAAGAGAGCTTCCAGGCACAAAATGTGCAAGCGTTTTTCCAGTTGACAACAAGCTACACAACAATAACAATGCATGGGGTTATGGTCTGCCCCTGTATGTTGGCGAGCCACGGCCACCATATGAGAGACACGCAGAGCGAAATTGCGGGGCGGCCACATCAACTCCGCGATGGAGAGGGCAAAAGTCGGCCACTACCGCCCAATTGCCACTCGCAGCTTTCCAACGTTCACAAAGTCTCTTCCCAGAATACAACAGTGTCTCCCAGCCGAGTGATCGTACACCCATCGTTTAGGTGGGTTTCATCCTGCCAGGAATCCATCCAATCAGGAGGAAGGAGAGCGCAGAGCCCACCGCGTCCCAGGATGCCACCAGCAGCAGGTCGCTGGTCTTGGAAAATCGGACGCTGGTGACGCCATCTCTCGGAGGCTCCTTCAAGAGGTCCCCAAGATAGTTCTTGGACATCGACCCAACTCGTGAGCGGGGCAAGTGGCCGTGTGTTCCCTGATGGCTTCGTTTTCTATGGAGAATGTGTACTGATGAAGGCTCTCACAGAATCGTAAGTTGGGAACCCACGTAGCCGCGTAGGCCGAAGTACGGAGGAATAGATTACAGCAGAGCGCAATGTCTCACCGGGGGACAGGGCCCTGGACACAAGGTGACCTGAAACCGGGCCGTTAGAGCATCTTTATCGGTGGGTGTTATCACACGGGCAATGCTAATAGCGAATAGTATTCGGTCATCTCAATATTGTGGCAAGCTTTCAACTACCCTCAACATTGTACCTATTTTATTCATGATTTGCATATTGGGATCCTTACACCAAGACATGATTGAGTATTATCTTTTAGGGGCATAGTAGGTGGATGTGTGATTAATCCTAATCATGGAAAGATTGATTATTGGTTGACCCTTTGTTTTGGTAACATTGTGGACAGGCATCCACCGTTAGTTGATACGGTTGCTTTTGTAAATGAGTTAGATGTATTTGATTACCCTAAATGGGTCTGAGTTGGGTAAACTAGCCTTGTGGTGGTTACAAAGGACATGGGACAATGAACAGAGCAATTAAAGACAATCTTGTATAATGTACAAATGTAGTAACCGCCCGGGGATTCCGACTCCCCGTTTCATCCGACCTGTGCGCCCGAGGGAGCTTCCAAGCTCCCGCATCATTGGTTTCGGAGCGCGGAGCGTTCGAGCGGCGAGAACACACCGGCCGACGGCCGGAATGGCGAGTGGGGATCCTCGCCAGGAGACTGGGAATCCGGGGGACCAATCGGCCGGGCAATTGGTGCCCTATCGAGGCGGGCCGACCCCCATGGAGCTGAATGGAAACGGTGGAGGAGTGACGGCTTTGCAGCACGGCGAGGAAGACGATCGACCGGAGCAGCTATTGCTGCGCCACGTGGGGGCTGTGGCCGCGGCTGCTGCGAGGAGAGCGACCCTTTTTGCGGTCGCAGAATGGAGCAATTCGGCCGGGCAGCAGCAGAATGCCGCTCTCCGCGGCATGGGGGAAACGCTCGGTCAGCAGCTCGAGGCTGCCGCGAATCAATCGACCGCGCAGCAGCTGCAGCAAGGCCACGAGCTGCGCGCCTTGCAGGAAGGTGTGCATGGCAGAATGGTCGCGCAAGAAGGGGCCATTTCGGTGATCGGCGCCGGGCTGGAAGGTGTGAGGCAAAGAGCTGAAATGCAAGCGAATGAGCTCGGGAGATTGCAAGCTGCTGTTCGAGGAGATTGGCTTCGAGCGGAAGAGTCGATCGGCACGGAGATGGACCGTAGAATGGAGCAGATGGGGAAGAGGCTCGCGGAAACGGAGGCGCACTTTTCGGAGGCCAACCAAAAGTTGGCGGATGAGGTGCAGCTGGCGGGCGCGATCGACGGCGGACGGTTCGCAAGGACTCAGGAGGATGTTTCAGAGGTACGCGAACGGCTGGTGGCATTGGAATCGGAGAAAGGAGGCCACGATGCGCGGTTGGAGGCGCTGGCCAATGCTACGGGAAAGGCATCCGAGGAGGCATCGATTGCCAACGAAAGCTTGCGCCAAGCGGCGCGAGTGCTGGGCGACCTCGGCGCCGCCGTTCAAGCGCAGCAAAACGCGCAGGAATCGGTTTCCGAACGAGTGGAAAGCATGGCTGCGAACCATGCTCGGGAAACGGCCTCCATGGCCGGCGAGCTCGGCGGCATCAAGCGCACCATCGAGGCGCTGGACCGCAGGATGTCCGAGGCAACGTCCAGCCTCGTCGTTCGGCCGGCTATGCCGCCCTCGACCGTTCGGAGTCGGTCGCCGTTGCCGGTGGCCTCGGGCGCGGAGGATGCAGGTGCCGCGGAGGGAGATGCCGCCCCCGTGGGGCCTGTTCGCGAAAAGGTTACGCTTTACGAGGGGTTACGCACCCCTGGCGTAACGGGGAGCTGCGAGACGGCACAAGGTGTGAGTTTTGGAGTTCCTACGCTGCCCGTCGGTGCTGTGTCGTGGAGTGAGAATCCTGTGAACTGGAAGGTGAATCAGAATGTGGACTGGGATGCATTTCTGAACAAGCAAATTCCCAGTAGCGTGTACTTAGGGACAATGGTGCAAACTATCCCAAGTACTACAGTGCAAACCACTATGGCACCGCCGGAGAACTTGGAAATTGCGAGCGGCATTGCAGCACCATTGTTGCCTCCTGGTATCAGTCAGACAGCAGGCACTTCAGTACAGCCTGGTCAGTCTTCCCGTGGTCAATCAGCTGGTCCGAGTGGAGTACCGTCACGAGTGAGTGGAGCTGGAGCATTTGGAGCTGGATTCCCTACACAGTCGGCTCGCCAACCTCCTTTCTGGGGGGTAGGCGTGCCAGAGGATCCCTACAGTGGGCTGGGATCATATGGATCCCTGGGTGGTGGAGCTGGAGGATCAGGTGGTCACGAACCGCCAAGGAGACCACCCAGAAGGTCACCCCCTGGTGGCCCGCCTGGTGGCCCACCTGGAGATGGCGATGATGACAGAGACGATGATTCTATGGGCGAGAGAGAGTCATCACATGGAGGTGGGTTGCCAGATGTTGGACACAGAGCTGCCGCTATCCCTGTCGACACTGGATTCGGGAGATTGAGGATTCCGATGCCAGACAGATTTTCTGGCCACCATCAGGATGTGAGCTGCACAGAATGGGTGTTGGCCATGTGCAGGTGGCTGCGTGGCAATGCAGTGGACGAGTCACGCTGGCTGTCAGTGATGTCAGCGAACTTGTCTGGAGCTGCCATATCGTGGATGAACCTGGTAGAGTTGCAGGTCTATCAGGGGACACGAGCGCCATTTGCTGATTGGCGCGAGTTTACTGAGGCGCTGCGTGGCACTTTTGAGTCAGCCACACTGGGAGAGCAGGCTAGGCGCAGACTCCATACTTTGCGTCAGTACAAGTCTGTAGAGGCGTACGTCAGGGAGTTCCAGAAATGGAGCTTCAGATTACCAGACATGTCCAAAGCTGAGCGTTACTACCAGTTTATCGAGGGCCTCAAGGAGCCCATGAGATCGACAGTGGCTTCTTGGGTGCCTGAGGACCCTGATAAGGCCATCGCGACCGCTTTGCGTCTTTCTAGCCTTCAGCGTGGGGGCTGGGAGCAGTCTCAGGGGCAGAGCCAGGGCAGAGGTCAGGGCCGACAGTCTGGTGGACGTGGACGAGGCAGAGGACGTGGCCAGCAGCAGCAACAGCATCAGGTTCAGGCAGTCAGTCAGTCTCAGCAGCAGCAGCATCAGTCTCAGTCTCAGTCAGATTCAGTTGCAGCAGTTCAGCAGGGTGGCAGAGGCAGAGGCAGAGGCAGGGGTCATGGACAGCAGAGTGGTGGTGGCGGCCGTGGTGATGGCGGTCATGGGCGTGGTGTGTGTCGGCTCTGCAAGAGTCCGGGACACTACGTCAGTGTTTGCCCACGGCTGGAGGAGGCTGCTAAGCGGTTAAACTAGCCGTGGGGCAGCATGCACCACCCACGCTACCCCGGAGAGAGCAGGGTGATCCGGCCAGGAGAGCAAGTCGCCGGACGCTGGAGATTTCTGGGCGGAAGTTTGTGAAGGTGAGCCATCCTCGGTGGAATTCTGTGTTGGTGGGGCCACGTGTTGCTGTTGTGGCCTCAGAGGAGTCTCATCTGTTTGGGCGCACTGGCCCAACTGCAGTAGATGGTCAGAGTGTTGTTTCTAGTGGTGACCATGATGTAGATGCCGGAAAGAAGAACGATGTGAGCACTGACTTTTTCCCCGCAGTCAGTGATAGCTGTGTGGCTGGGGTCACAGCTAAGGTTGATAGTTCTGAGCAACCTGTTCTTACTGGCAGCCAGAATTTCTGTGATGAGAGGCTGACCAGTTCTGATGCACCCAAAGCTGGTGGTGGTGATGTAGAGGGAGAAATGGTGGGATTGCGCACCCCACTTGTCTGTCCTCTAGCCAGTGTTGGGTTCATGGGATATGAACTTTTAGGCAGTATAAACCGGCATGCAGTTGTGGCTTATGTCGATAGTGGGAGCACTGCGAACTATATTTCTGAGGCAGTTGCTCGACGGATTGGTCTTTCAC